AAAGACCAGACATTTTACGAACGGGTAATTTTACTCTGCCAGAACGATGGAAAAAGGTCATCGACAAGAACGGCCAATATCTAATTGAATAAAGTTATATTTTTGAACAAAAATTCCGAATTTGCCTTCTTATTTGAAATCGGCAATGACTTAGTTGCCCACCTAATAGACCAAGACATCTGAAAACGCAATCTGGTCTAATACAGAAAGCCATAGATCTGAAGAAAGCGTCACAAATCAATGAAAAACCAAAAAAGCCTCCCTCTCCCCATGAACCCATTAGTAGACACTGATGTAGTGTGTTGCACCCAACTGCTTGACCACTTCAGGAAATCAAACACCCCTCCAGAACAATGCTCTCACTGGCCCTTGAGACAATCAATGCCAACCAACTTGTGCTCACTGGTACTTGAGACAATCAATGTCAACTATCCTGGTCATCAGCTCCAAGTCTTCACGACAATCAATGCCAACCAACTTGTAGATCAATGGCTCCAAGTCTTCATTGATGGGTCATACATAGAAAACCAAGCAAACGTTGGAACGGGTGTTTACTCTGAACTCTTCTATTTCTGCGCAGAAGCGGGGCACAATATATCCTCTTTCGAAGGAGAATTAGAGGCCATTAAGATAGCACAAGGCCAATTATGTTGCCTGGATACGAAATTTACCAAAGTGTTGTTACTTTCGGACTCACAATCAACAATAAATTGTATTGGAAGAAGGGAGCCACCCAAAACAGCTGAAATATACGAATGTAGAATACTCTATCAGCTGCTGAGAGAGAAAAACAAAACAGTGGTCCTACAATGGATTCCTGGTCACTGTGACATTAAAGGCAATAAGCTTGCTGACGCACTTGCTAAGAAGGGGACAACAATTGTACAAGATCTAGATCGGCCGATGTCTTTCCACACAATGAAGGCCTTAATCAACCGGCCGATGCTCTTACCAACGAACTCAAAGCTCGAACAAAGGAGAAACAGTGGACAGTGGAAACTAATCAGAAGAGAGTTCAAGACCTCAAGGTGCAACGAACTTGAGCTCGAACAAATGAGAAACAGTGGACAGTGGCACTCTCCGATTAGAGGAGAAATAGTGGACAGTGGCACTCTCCGACATACCCGGCTGGCGAGAATCGAAGCCGTTGCTGAGTTTAGACTACGTATCGGACAGTCCACACAATGAAGGCCTTAATCAGGAGAGAATTCATGTCAAGGTCAAGGACACAATGGAGGCCTTAATCAGGAGAGAATTCCAGACCTCCAACAAAGGAGAAACAGTGGACAGTGGAAACAAAGGGGAAACAGTGGACAGTGGCACTCTCCCGACATACAGGAGAAATAGTGGACAGTGGCACTCTCCGACATACCCGGCTGGCGAGAATCGAAGCCGTTGCTGAGTTTAGACTACGTATCGGACAGTCCACACAATGAAGGCCTTAATCAGGAGAGAATTCATGTGGTGTCAACGAACTCAAAGCTCGAACAAAGGAGAAACAGTGGACAGTGGAAACTAATCAGAAGAGAGTTCAAGACCTCAAGGTGCAACGAACTTGAGCTCGAACAAATGAGAAACAGTGGACAGTGGCACTCTCCCGATCAGAAGAGAATTCAAGATCTCAAGGTGCAACGAACTTAAACAACAAAGGAGAAACAGTGAACAGTGGCACTCTCCGACATAGCCGGCTGGCCAAGAATCAAAGCCGTTGCTGAGTTTAGACAACGTACCGGGAACGATTGCCTGGCAAAACACCTTCACAGATTAGGATTTTACACTCAACCAACATGCCCTCTATGTAACCTACATGAGGAAATGGAGAAGACCCACCTGATTCGGTGTCCAGCCCTAAAGACAACGACGGAAACCCAGAGATACTGGGAAGCCAAAAGACAACAAATTAACTGCTGTAGAATGCCCCCCCCCCCCCCCCCCCCCCCCNCCCCACCCCTCACCGTGGGGAAGGCTGAAGTCAACCAAGGAGGAAATGATGAATATCATAAAGCCTGCCAATTGAAATAATATTCTGCAAATCGCGTGAAACATCAACGAAAAGAAGCCTCTTTAAGCTTGGTGTGAATAGCATCTTTTGAAAATGAATTCATCTCTTTTATTTAGTCATGCATTTCTTAGATTTTACCCATTTAAAGCATTTTATATAGGTCAAATCAATGTTTTCGCTGATGATTTGATGACGGGACAATAATTCTAAACCAATTGCAGGATACCAAATTTAAGCTAGCCAATAGCAAACGGGGTGCCTAAACAGTGCAGCCGTCTTCCTGAACGAAATCATCAATTTTCAGATACACTCGCTAATGCTGTTAATAGCGCTTCTACTTTGTGTCAGTTCTATTTCTTTACAAGGCCAATTGTTGAAGGATCTCAAAGTGGAGATCTTGTCAGTTCCTTGCAAGAGATTTGTGGAAAAGGGAGACAAAATCGACATATATTACACAGGTCGCCTTCGCGACAACAAGCAAGTGTTTGACTCGAATGTTGGTGAGACTCCACTACAAGTAACTGTAGGAACTGGCCAATTATTCAATGGCTGGGATCAAGGCCTCTTAGGGTAAGATGGAGTTCTTCCTTTCATCGTTCCCATTGTTCTAGAACCTGCGAGGGCGAACGTCGACGACTTTCTATTCCTTTTTCAAGTGCACATGGATCTAAGGGTTATGGTGACATTATTCCGCCTTTTTCAGACCTTGAAATTGACATCGAAGTCATTAGCATTGACAAAAATGCAGCGAGGCGTCAGAGACAGGTTTAATACAATCAACAGATGAAAATCACCTCATGCAACATAATTCGCAATTTCTGTCATTAAATAGCACTCCTTACCCGGGGGTTTTCGTTGATTTGTTTTGAAATTGCCTCGTTGTAGGTGGTGCCGGGCTATGCAGAAGGAATAAGTTAAATAATTTAAAATACCAGAACAGCTTTTGACTGTTGCATACTTTATATAATCGAGTCTCTTCAGGCAACGCGCAAGTTATGCTCCATTGCCACAATCGCCAACTACAGTCATTTACATTCCAGCTTGGCTCTTCTATGTTGCCTGCTAGAGACTCAGTATCGTGCAACGTTAAAGATGCGATTGTCAAAACTGAGGCGCTTTATGAGCTTGATATATCGGGTGGGTTAATGTTGTAGTCATATTACGCATCTCTTTCAGAATAGCATTAGTATAAATGAGTATTTTAATTGCTTGATGAAAGGTATTTAATCTGAGGGATGTCTGTTATTTTAAAATGATTCTTTTTTGGTTCTTATGGTCTAGCGATAGAGGCAACTTCAAAGGAGATATCACTCAAACCATTTAGTTCTAAGGGAAAAATTCTGCAGTTTAGACTGGGACAAAAAGTTGGATTTAATTAAAAGAATGTGCGTTGCTACAAAAGGCTTGGGTTAATAGAGTGAGCAATTCTCGTTAAGACTGAGGTCAAAGTTTAGTTAGCATAAAGGAAATAACGCTAGGAAACTTAAAAAGCCCGGGTAAATGGTTATGCACTGCGTTACACCCACTCTAAATCAAAATAGTTGCCTCTCTATTCCACTACGGTTTCATTTATTTTGAATGACCGAGTTAGCTCAACAAATGGCATGCGGGATGTCAACAACCAATGATATAAAGCGACTATGTCAATCAAGGTCTCATAATAGGAAAGTGTAACAAGCCAACACTTCTTTCAACTGTTAAAATTCAAGTTGGTTAGTGAGTCAGGTGAGTTCCTTATTGCAAATAGCGATAGAACTAACTGATTTCAATATCAACGTCAGCAGTATGGCTTACTGCGATTATTCCATATTTATTTTAGATTCAATATTTCTAAATCGATAGATGTGGTTACACAAGGAGTTTTAGATATTCCTGCTTCTGACCCTGATGCAGACTATGTAAACGATCATAGATACGAGGGTAAATCAAAAATATAAGAACAAAAATTGCATATTTCATGTGATTACATTCATTTTTCCACAGAGGCGCCATTGTTGTCTACAAACTTGGTAATCCATGTTTCCTGACGTCAACTCTCTCGTGGTAGAATTTGGAGGGCTGTCTCTGGCACCATGAAATTACATGCCTCTTTGCTATTTCATCTAAAGACGCGAATCGGGTGCCTTCAAGTTGCCCTTACAGCTTTGGAAAGAGTTTTTCGTACTTCCTGAAATTCCTTCATTATTACCCCCATTTTAATCCCACAAAGTAGTGGTCACAGCCTACTTAACGAACCTTGCAGCTTTAAACTTGACAGGTCCAGATGTTCGCTTTGGAAGCCACTCTTTCGATGGAATTCTGTTTTCTGGAACAAATTAGTAGATCCGTGTTTCATCTCCTGTTCTACTCGAGAGAAATGTTTGCTCGATTTCCTGCTGTGGTGGGTCGTCATCAAGTTGAACTCTTCCCTGTTTACATTAACCAGTTGTAGGGCTTCCATGATGTGAGCAGTTATCCAATTTAGTCAAGTAAAAATTCCATGTAAGCTCTGATCTCGAAATTTGCTATTTGAAGGGTTAAAAATGCAAGCTATTTTGAGCTGCCACTTGGCCTCATCCCGACCTCACAGAGAATGCTGGCACGGTTGCACGGAATGAAGGAAGATCTAAAGACATACTTCAACTTGCGTAATCTTGCAAATCTTTGTTATGGCATCTGTTCGGGCACTTTTGACCCACCCTCGTATAAGCACTCAGAGGATGAAATTACTAAAATCAATCGCTAGGTCTCCTCTTTGCCCAATTTCTCTGTTCTGATCTGATCCACTCAATTCAGATGCAAACAAGAGAGACTTCAGGCATTTGCTTGAGGAATTTGAATTTATTGCAAAGGAAAACAAACTCAGTTCCACGATTCGCCGATAACCATCTGGAACACGGACATCTAGGTCGAAAAGAATTTCATGAATTTTCAAACAGCAGTTTACGTGAGATTCTCCTTTGCGGCCGCATGAATGCGTGGATCAATTCGGTCTATAAGAAGATTTAAATGGCCGTGATAAAATAATAATTAACTAATAGGAAGTTGAATCAGAAAACCCACAAATTTTGTGCTGCCCGCTCATTGGTAGCTTAATGAGAAGCTCCCGTGGATCAGAGCAAACAAAAACGTAGGGACTCTTCGATTCGCCATCAGGGAACTGAAGGTATAAGAAAATATGATGGCCAAAAACATGAGTTAAAGGTGCATATGTGGGCACAATGATGAACCTTTAATCGATATTCCTTCTGAGGCAGAACTTCGTCCACATTGACGCATCCCACAAGGACGCCAGTGGGGTAGGAGGTAGGGAAGTCAGTACGTTTTGCACCTAAAACATTCACACATACGTAATCGATTTTGTTGCAAGAGTGGCAGAACAGAACGGGAACAATATGCACACACCTCGGCTACGCAGGTACTCAGCTTCAATGGCACGCACCTCTTCTTCGTCTGGTTTCTTAGCCGCCGCAGCGATCCAAAGTGGCCCGCGATGCGCCGAATACCACGACCGACCCTCGTGACTATAGGCAATGGAAATTGGTAAAATAAGAAGGGGAATTTAAAGATATAAGTAGAGAAAAGTGGGACCATTACATTTTCACACCACGAACAAGAAGTGAAGCCCAAGGTTGGTGCATAGACAAGCATAACCCGCGATCTTCAATCTTCACCTGGTCAGTGTCCTGTACACGAAACTGTTGTTGGTGCCTTTCCGGGCCTTGAACTCGCTTCTTTGCGACTTTGGAACCTCCATGCGGTGGTATAAACTAAGAAGAGTTTGAAGTGGTTGATAAGAGGAAGCACCTACCTGAGGGGCTGGGACATTGAGAAAAGGGTCTGAAATTCCCACTGAGTCTGATTTGTCAGTGACAGGCGTAGCTAAAAGTGCCAAATCCTGCTCTGTGGGAAGAACCCGTGCAGAGTGAGCGCTCTAAAACAAGAGAAAAAAAGAAAATCAAGAAGGCAGCAATTGGTAGCGAGAGCTTATATACGCGAGCTACTTGTTCAAAGGCAGTCATGTTGGCAAAATCGATGGTGAGTGCAGTGACGGCCTGAGAACGAAGAGCGTGTCGTTGAGCCCTCAATTCCTCCACGCGTCGAGCGACGCGAGCTCGAGTCTGGGGATCAAGCCAGAGAGCCGCACCTCCGCCCCCACCTTCACTCACAAAGTAATCCACCTCGTCATCAATGACCTGAGTTCGCTTTGCTGTCGTAGCGTCAAAGTGAAGGAGACGATCGCGTTGCATTAAAGCCCTTACCAACCCTAAATTAACACTAGTAACAAGGTAATAAAAATTCCATGCCTTCCTCTAGACGACTCTGAGCATTAGCATTTTGAGGATGTTCCATTTCTGCTTCATCGTCCAGCCAATCTCCCTGTCCCTCAGGTTCGGATTCATTCAATGGATTTTCATGTCCACTCTCAAACATTTCACTCTCTTCTTTCATTGGTTTGTTCTTCAATCGAGAACCGTAACGCCGATAGAGCTTTCGCGTGATGGTCCAAGGAGGCGGCGGTGTGCCAGGAGCCCATGGCACCGATCGAATTTTTTCAATAAACCTCCGTGCAGCGTTGGTATTCGCTTCTGCATTTTTTCTATCCTCCACAGACAATACTAAATTCCCACAAAAGTAGCAGGGGCCCTGTCCCTCCTGCTCACAAACTACACGACCGCAGCTAGTACAGTTTGCTACAAGAGAGTGACGAACTGCTAGACATTGACATGGATGACGGCCGGGCAAAACAGCAACCATACGATTACCAGTTCCACTCTCAGTGAAAAGAGGTACAAACTTTTTTCTGGTCATCTGGAACAAGAATAAAATTCGTTACACATAAAATGTTAGTCGAATGAGCACAAAAAGCCGTTTGCAATGAACAATAAGGCTACGTACAAAAACCTAACAGTAAGGTCAAAAGGGAAGGCTAAAATCAAAGCCCCAGGATCATCAAAAAAAATTAAAGAAATCAAAAATTGTGTTATTATTCTTTAGCTCACCTGATTACTTTTGATATTTATACAATTGAAACAACGCATAAATAACGATATGGAAAATAATAACACTAAGTACAAACCTTGCTAAACTAGCTAATGTTGCCACTTTACTTGATAAAATATAATGATTTCTTCTGAAATATAGTCTATCCAAAACATACTCTATTTATCCATTTAGTATTCAAAATTTCAATAAATAACTGCACCATCTCAGTAATTTTTTATTGCACAGGAGCACTCAGAAAACAATTATTAAGTACGGTTTTTCTAATCTGTCATTTTTTAGTTGCAGTTAATAATTTTCGGTTGAGGACATTTTTTAATAATTTAAATACCATTAAGATAATTGCTTGCATCGATTTTAATCATCATTCTGCCATTAGTTTCTTACTGGTCTCTCAAATTACATAAATAAATATTTCCGAAAATCAGTGTTACTCAGCTATTTTGATTTTGATTTCTTTCTGACTCATCAATGAATTTGGTTCTTATTTCGATAAAAATTGCATTATCTGATATAATTTTAAACCTTGGGTCTAAGCCTGTTCCATCCGAGTTTTGCAAGGCTCCAGCAGTAATTCACTGTTCTTAGTTATTTTTGAGTGACAATAATCAATATTCGCCTATGGAAAACCAGACAGAACGATAAGAGAGGAACCTCTGTTGCTATTAATTCGCTTCAACTCATTCATTTTGAGGAGTCGAACCACTCATTCTTAACGGCCTTTGCTTTTCCACTTAACCAAATTCATTTTTCACTCGTGGTGTAAAATATCAGCAGTTAAAGGTAGCAATGTGTAAAATTGTGAAGTGAATAGAATTAATTTTTCAATAGATTTTTTCATTAGACCTGTTAAATTATTAAGATCTCAAAAATAAGACTCAAAAGCTATTCAAAATAGCTTTTAAAATGGTTATTATTCATGATGTAAGAAAAGTTGAATTGCATAATTTGATTACTTGTAGGGAAATACAATAATAACAGGAAGGAAAGCTTGCATTAGGTTCAATCCCCCTTCTCCTTTTCAGTAAATATGATATTGTCGCATGCATGGTCAAATGGATTCTTGACTTTGATCAGTGGTATTGGAATATCGGTGGAATGGGGGACGGGGTGATTCTGGAATTTGCTGATATATTGAATCAATAGCGAGGCCACCCTCTCTCCTGCCTGGATTGGCAGATGTGTACATGAGTTCCATGCATAGAAAACCAAAATATTATGCGAGCATTGCTCAGTCGGTCTTGTGACAGAAAAATGATAACCTCCCAAATAGGCTTTCAAAGTAGCACAGAACTTCCTGTCTTTAATTCTTATTCCGTTTCTAAATCGAAAATTGGCATATGAATCCTAAAGGTGGAGCGTATATTGAAATAAAATGACCTTTAGGGAGCATGAAAGGACGAGTAAAATATTTTTACAAAAGAGCAGTTTGTTTCACTAATTATTACGATATATTAAATCTCTAAATATCGCATATAAAACCTCGTGACTGCGTACAAACTTCATGGTTCAATGTTAGTTTTGGAGGAGAGATGGCGGTGTGATAGAAGAATGGGTAGAAGAGAATCACTTCTCCTAACCTGCAAAGGTCTTTCATCTCTCCTTAAATCATAATATGATTCGCAAAATCCTGTACAAATAAATCTCTCCTTTGTGACTGCCATCTGCCTGTCTCCACACACACACATACACACACACACACACACACACACACACACATACACACACACCAGGCTGAGTTTGTTTCTACCTTTGTGCCTTGGAAAACGAAATTTTCCTTCCAATTAACCCAGTTCCAGCTCGTTATATTGATATACGAAGAGGGCACACAGACGAACTGACCTTCTTTTGCTGCATCGTGAAAAGATGACAGAGAAGAAGGCGATGAAGAAGGCTGCATTGAAGGCGCTCAGCTTGACCAGCTTTTTCTTAATATGGAAATGTGATTGATTTTACTGATAACGCTAGACGGTGGGGAAGGAACAAAGAATTATAAATTGGGGATCGTTCGTTTTGAGTTGATAGACCAAAAAAGACGCAAAATACATTTGGGAAATATCGTTTTTTTAAGGTAAAGGGAGGGAGTGACAGAAGACTACTATTTCTGGCGCGATTTTCATTTTTCTATGGAGGTTAGAGACGAAGCGAGTGAGGAAGTTTTCTTCGCGCACCTAAACTTAAAAGTGCAGTCAACGCGATCTTTAGTAGTCGTCAGACGTCAGTAGCAAATTAGGTAAACAAATGGTTGGTGTGAGTGCACTAACCAAACAAAAAGTAAACTAATTGTCTATGATAAAGAACTTGTGATCTGCCATATGTTAACAACCGCACCAATCGATTTTATGATATTTTGAACTTGATTTGTTCTTGTTGAAGTATGCAAAAAATGTAAAAAGCTAAATTAATATTTGGTCACATCAGAATTTAACCTCATCCGAGACTAATAATTTAAAGGCAGTAATATTAATGAAGTAAACGTCTTATTGATCTTTTCAAAAGGAGGACAGAAAATGCGAATAAATTAGAATTGAATGAGATCAATAAAATCCAAATTCTGAGCAACTTAAGTGGCCGTAATGGAGCAGAAGCAGGTAGTGGGTATGAAGGACTGCAAATGTCTGAGCATGAAAAGAGGAGGTAAGAAGGTAATACATGTGTAACTAAGGTTCCTCGCAGACTCGTTCCGTCTTGGCTCTTCACTTGCTCCTCTCGCTAATATCAACAGGCCCGCGATTGGTGGTTAGCTCTTTTTGCGGGTAAGGAAAGGGTTAAATACCACAACCATTCTGACTGGTTGGAGAGAACTTAAGCCCGAACCACTCTGGTTTATCAAGAGCAACTCCAAACATCTGCAGCTCCCCGCCCCCGCCCCCACCCCCACCCCCACCCCATCTCCCCCTCCTTCTCTTTAAGACACTTTATCCCAATGTGAATTATCTCCCACGCTAGCTATTTCTAGCGTACTTTGTCTTCGCAACAATCGAGGAGGCCCAGAAAGATATGGAGAGTTCAACCGTTCAATTATTTGAAATTTAACTAAATTCCTATCCTATATCATCTTGCCAGCCAAAGGCAATTTGTTGAAGAATGGGATCTTCCGATCTCTCTCTCTCTCTCTCTTGTTTATTTGTAAGCTTCATCATGACACACTATCCCTTGTCAATCGATATAAATATATATATATATCTTACCCAAGACATTTGGCAAATTTACCGCGTTCATCTTTTTTACACTGAGCAAAATGAAAGGGAATGTGAGGTCGATGAAATGAACCGTGCATTGTTCTAGTCGATTTTCACTAGAGCAATTATTTTAGAAAGTCAGTTCCAAAAAATTCCATGCCATTATTAGAGAAATAAGGCAATAGGGCAAGTCGGAATCGTTGGTCTTCTACTTTAAGGGTCGCTTTAACAAAACTGCCGATTATAATAAGCGTATGGTTCACTGGCCCCATCGTGGTGCAAAAATCAGAACCATAAATAAGGGAAATCGATATTCCTGATTCCATGCCACCTTGTGACAAGTAGGACGTACACGTCAGGACTTTCACAATTGAAATGGTAGCGTCAGGGCTCGAGATAAGCAACTCCAAATGTAGTATCAACACCAAACAAGCGCTGCTTTCAAGTCACTGATCCTTGGAATGTCTCATTATGTTTGCAATGGTGCAATGGCTATGGCCTATGGCAGCTTGAAAAGTATGTCAAATTGCAAAAATTCATCGAAAGGCTTATGAAAAATTTTTACTTGGTAGATGGTCGAGGTGCACAATTTGTGCTTCCGCTGCGTTCAGGTGTTCATTACTCCTTTTCAGCAAAACGCGGTTTGTCATCATTCTTGATGTGATTGCTTACTTTATAATTAGACTTTTCTATATGGCCCAACAAATGCGTGGATCAATTCGTGGAATATATTGCAGATCTTTAAAGTACTACGCCAAGTGGAGAAAGCAGTAGCCACCGGGAGCGGCAAGGAAATGTTCAACACAATGAAATCGAAAAGAGACAAAAATACATGCAGGCGACCCAATGCAATCACCCTTAAATGAGAGTTAACTGGCATTGTGTAAGCAAATAATTTATTAATGCAAATTTATTGTGCGCAAAGAATGAAACGCGCATGAAAACTCGTGTGGTGAGCTAATTTAAGAGTTCTTTTTGGAAATGGGCATGGAAATAGATTTAACCTCAGTGTAGAATCTCAATCCTTCTTTGCCCCTACAAAAAAAAATAACGAGGAAGTTGTTCGGTAAGTGAGTAAAAGAGATAACAGGCTACTCACATTTCACGGCCAATGCCCGAGTGCTTGTAGCCTCCAAAGGGCTGCATAGGTGGCGAAGTGTTGTAGCTATTGATCCAGACGGTGCCGGCTTCGAGGGCCTGGGCAACGCGAAGGGCTTTGTCAGCGTCTCCCGAGAAGACCCCTCCACCGAGACCGTAGTGAGAGGCATTGGCCCGACGTATCACCTCATCCACGTCGGTGAAGCGCAAAACCACTTGAACCGGACCAAATATCTCCTCCCTTGCGATTCTCATCCCATCGTGCACATCTGCGAACACAGTCGGCTCAATGAAGAAGCCCGCTTCTCCTTTCATCCGCCTTCCTCCAGCAACCAATCGGGCACCCTCCTCCACTCCTGAAGCTATGTATTTCAATACTGTCTCCATCTGTACCTTGCTTATCTACTCAAAGGAGAAGAGGGGCATGTGTCGATGACAGAATCATTTATACAAAGGAGGCATAAAGTTTCCATAGTAGGCCAAGTGTGGACAAATTAAGCGATTCGGATTTGAAATCAATAAGCGGTCCAAAGCTCACGACGAGATGTCATAAAATATTTGGAGTATTCCGTTCAATTAAAAAGTGCATTAAGACCCATTGGTTGACACCTCCTTGGGGTTCGATAAGCCCGTTCATTATAAATGGAATCAAAGCTACCTGAAAGTGGAACGATTTCACAAACCTTGTTTAATAGTTACAAAGACCATTTTCGTTCTCGATTTGAATCTAATCGGATAAAGTGGCAAATCTTGAATAGTAAACTTTAATTATTAATAGGGAGGAAACGAAAAAAAAGACAGCAGAGATGAACACGACTCATTCAAGTTAAGCCATAATTAAATCACACAGTCCATCGGTTAAAGAAAAGTGATGTTAATTCACATCAGTAAGATATTGGTAATTACTTCGAAATTCTTAATTAATGAATTCGCAAGCGCCTGACTTCAGTACTTTCAGTCCAAAGAACTCAGTTTGGAAGTGTTTTACATTGCGCTTTATGTCTCCAAGGCTCGAGAATTTTAGCTAAAGAGTACCTGGGGGCCCTGTTGAACGCCGGGTTGGAAGGGATCTCCAAGGACACGTTTTTGAGCAAGCTTCCGAAAGCGCTCCACCATCTCCTCATAGATGGGTGCCTCAACGAAGGTACGTGTTGCGGCAACACAGCACTGCCCGGCGTTTCCCATTACTTCCTCAAACGCCACTTCCGCAGCCTTGTCCACTAGCAAACACACGAAAGATGGTCATGATGCAATATGGATGTAGGGGCTAAGGTAGAAAGTGACAATAACTTACAATCGGAGGCATCAGCGAAGATGATGAGCGCCGACTTGCCACCGAGTTCAAGATTGATGCGTTTAAAATTGGTGGCTGCTGCGATCATAATGGAATGGCCAACAGCAGTGCTCCCCGTGAAAGTCACAGCATTAACTCCAGGGTGATTAGCCAATGCGGCGCCTGCCGTCTCACCATATCCAGGCACCACGTTCACCACACCAGGTGGAATGCCAGCAAGAAAAAGGAAGTCTTTGTGATTACAAGGTAAATGACCCGTTATCTGATTTCTTTTTCTAGTAACTAACTTAACGCCATTAAGTCTCTGGCTTAGCTTGTCGATGTAAAGAAGTAAAAAAATCAAACACATCGGTTTCTAGCATGTATTGGTGCCTTCCTTCAAAATGAAATTTATTCACTCGAAAAGAGCGACTTGTTCTTGCTTCTAGGGAGAAGTGCAACTTACCGATTTGAGAGATGAGATGGGAGAGAAGGAGGGCAGAGAGAGGCGTCTCTTCTGACGGTTTAACAACGAGACAACAGCCCATCGCGAGGGCAGGAGCCACCTTTTGCACAATTATGTCTAGTGGATAATTCCAGGGAATGATTGCACCGACCACTCCCACAGGCTCCCTCCGAGTGTAGCACACCACGTCTCCGTTGCATGGTATCACCTGAAGAAGTAAAAGAATTTATCAACACACAATAAAGCCACTTCACTTTTAGTAATGTGATAATGGTAAACCTGTCCATGGAATTTGTCAGAATAACCGGCGAAGTAGCGCAATGTAGAAACAGCGAAATCGACGTCGCCACGGGCGGATTCTAGAGGTTTACCGGTATCGAGAGCTTCCAAAGAGGCGAATTCCTCTGAGTGCTGTTGGAGAGCGTCAGCAAGGCAGTAGAGAAGACGCCCACGCTCCGAGGCGTCCATGGTGCGCCATACACTGTCACGTCGGAAGGCTGCACGAGCTGCCTGCACGGCCGCATCGATATCCTCGGCGCCACCCTCCGACACTCTGCACACAACCTCCTCTGTCGCCGGATTAATAACCGTATATGTGTTTCCTGACGCACTCTCCACAAATTCTCCGTTAATGAATAGCTAACGGGAATGAAACAGGAAAATAGTTTAAAGCAGTAAAAAGACTTTAACTGTAAAGACAGTATTTTAAAACAATATTAAGGATCCTCCGGATTCGAAACAGATTTCAGAGTCTTATTTATGAAAAGGATTAAGTACTTCGAAGTAAAAATGAGAGGGAGTGATCCTGCCTTCAATAGTGCTTTTCTTGAAATCGACTGTCGAACACAAACTAACCAAGACGGTAATATTTGGAATCAGAACAATAGAGAAGGACAAACAGAGAGTTCAAGCATTTTCGCTACAATCAGTACAATATAAGACATTTAATTAGTAATTTAGCACAAATAATTTACAGTAAAAAAGCAGGATGCCTTTCAATCATTAAAAAACCAAATAAATTTATTCTCCAGCACTGAGAAATGTGTACCTTCGTGAACCTTATTGAAGGCCTCTGCATGTGGCAAATTACCGACTACCCTGAAAGTGAAAAGTTACAGTAAACGTTGAAAGTCAATCAAGGTCATAATGTGTTTATAAACGAAGTTTTATCTATTTCTTTATATATTAAAATTTTAATGAAATTTTCTTCATAAACTTAATAAATTTGCTCTAGATTTTATGAGCAAGTTTTGAAAGAGGTGATATTGAATAATAATCCACTCATTTAGAATGTAATATTCACTGCTAGATTAACGTTTTATTTTCCACTCTATCATTAAAGAAAATTTTCTTCATTGGCAGATTCAAACTTGATCTAATAGCACCTAAAAGAGTTAAATCACATTTGATTAAACTTTGACCTAATTGATAAATTTCGTAAACCATTTTCAGGTGCCTCGGAGATAATGCAAAATAACACTTTTAAGAAAAGTATAAAATTATGACTACTGGAGTTAGTTATTTGCTGAAAATAACACGTGCGAGTAGGTACAAACATATCGATTCGAAATATTCAGTCGTGTTGGCAAACAGGAAATTGAAAATTTATTCAGTCCAACTCCTAGTATTCCAACAAAACCAACTGAACTCCCTACGTTAAACTATCCACATCTTTTATATTTATTATTGCCCACTTGTTCATAAGAAATTTATTCGGACACCGAATGATAGGCTCTATTCACGAAAGAAATTTGTTGCTAGCTTCGCTTACTTGAAACTAGCTGAGATCTCTTTATCAGAATTTTCTGCTTCATCTGTAGGTCACAGATGGAATTTTACCAACCCATTTTATGGGCTCTTAAAATCGCCAACATTTTTAACAAATCTCCCAGCTTTAGTGACGATGGTCCGTTTAAAAATAAATAGGTGTCAATTAACTTCACTAGTAAAATTTTAACAAAGCGATTTACATACAATTTTCAATTAAACCAGTCTTAGCTTTTACCTAATAATGGATCAAAATATATTCTGAAATAATAGTTCATCAATTGTTAAAAATCTTCAAAAGGAGGAACTTGAGCAGGCGAGCTTCGAAGATGATTGTTTCCTGTCCCGAATGCCTTTTTTCTCCTTCAAGTGGTTGATCAGCTACAACACTGATATTTCTTCCATAGACTAGCAAAATAATAACATAATAAGTGATAGGTTTTAGGTGACCTTAAAAACGAATCTCTATTATGCTCTTACTTTCGCAATGATCTAAAAATTCGATGCAATCTAGAAGAACAGAATCCTTGACCATTATTGTATGAGCGGCTAAATTCTCAATCATCGATAGAAAGCATCTCTTTGCGTAGTACCTAAATGATTACAATAGGAGGATAAGAAAAGCAAAGAAGGGCCAATAAATTCCGCAAACGGACTAAATTTGTTTTACCAAATATTTTAATCAATAAAAATAGTAAATTTTTGGCTTATCATTTGGCGTCGATGACAAAACTGACTGTTAAATCTCGAAGCCTATGTGAAATAGTAGCATCGGGTCATTTTAAAATAAGTCTGCTATTTAAACTGCCTATATCCTCGCATGTGTTCTTAAAGCAATTTCGATTGGGCGAAATTTCCAATTGCCCGCACAACATAGCCATCAGTATCATAACTGCACCTCATTACTGAGCGTGAATTACCAGGTATCAGAACAAAGTCTCTTTTGAAAAGGTTCGAGGCTTCGGATCACACGAGTAATACCGAAATCGTAATTTCCACGAGTGCAGTAAAGAGTGCCAATGACAAGATTGACGATGCAGGTGTGCAATGACTTCATCATCATCATCATCTTCTTCTTCTTCTCGGCATCTCCCTCCTCCTCCTCCTCGTTGTTGTAGGCTGCAGCTTCCTCCTCCTCCTCCCCCAACTTTCGAATCAATTTCTCCGCGTCGCTATTCTCCCCTGCCATAATGTAAGCCACACAAAGGTTAGCGACAACAATTGCACTTACGTCCAACAATCTCTCGAAGTGATTGTGCACAATAGGCTCGTAAAATGAACCAGCATAACCACGGTGCACTCCTTCCTCCTCCTCATTATGCAACTGCAGCATAAAAAGAACATGTGCCAAATTCAACATCCACGTCTCGTTTTCTTTGCAAAATTCAGCCGAGTTTCGAAGTATTTTCTCAGCCTAATGAATAAGGGCATTAATGTCTGCTTATCGCCCATTTAAATGTACGACTGTCTGCACACCTGTGAATAGTTTTTAGTGTCCCAGTAAATCTTGGCCTGTTGCATGAGAATGGGGATGTATCTGTCAAGGTCGCTTTCATATTCGTTCAAGGCTTCCTTCAATGTATCTTCGCCCATTCCTTTCTTCGCCTCCTGAATTCGTTTGGTGTGATGATGTAATCGTTCGGTATATTTTCTTGCCATTTTATCCAATCTCCTACGAAAATCAAAGACTATTTGTTAAGATCAACAAATAAAGAAAGTTGGCATTCTATGTTGACACTCACTGGTACGCTTCCTCAGGTGCATCCTGAGACACAATGACTGCTTCAATAAATTCATACAGTTCAAATGTGAGGCATTTAAGGACTAACTCATTATTTTCAGCTATTACATCTGCTGCAAGGTCAAAATAATGATACTTAATGTAGAGAAGAAGGAGATTAGCGAATGCCTCTTTAGGAAAAACTGGTTGCTGCAATAGGAAGTGGAGTTTATGAAACGCGTTGGTTGGAGCCAGTGTCATGTCACTAATGATCGCCTGATTATGCAGGGATATGTGATCCAACTCTCTTTCGGAGCGTGGCGGCATATCAGTCAGAGCCTCTCGGGCAGACGTCATGTTACCCAAATTGAACTCAATGGCTGCCTAGGTGAGCACATTGATAGTTAGTAAAGAAGTCGAATTGAATTTACCTTAAGATTAAAAGCTTCCACGAGAGCTGTCTCATGCAAAGTGGGTGTATTTCCGACACTTCTAACCTCTACACCCTCTGTTATCATTCCAACACCAAGCTCTGGATTGGTGTGTATGCCGCGTTCAATAATGTCAGCAATGTACTTCATTGCCTGAGTGTATAGCTTCAGTTTATAGTAGCAAAGTGCTACATAATAAACCACGATTGGTTGAAATCCAACAATCTGCGGAAATAAACTTGATCTCATTAATTACTTGAGCGAAACTGTAAGAAGTATTAAACATGAATTTACCGAGAGAGCTTTCAGAAACAGAGTGCATGCTTCTTTATATTTACCCTCCTGATATAGAAGAGAGCCAGTGTTAATAATGATATCTGGATCATCATCCGCACATTGTTGAACAAAAGAAGAAGCACCTGGAATGTCGCCAATATCAAAACAAATTGCAGCTTGCAACTTCGAAATTCGATTTCGCTGAAAATTCTCAGCTCCCGACTGCGATTCGGTGATTTTAGCGGCCAATGAAGAGGCTATTTTAAGGGCAACGTCATTAAGGCCAGCTCGGTGTAGACAATGAGCAAATTGAAGACGATATGTGGAGTTATCCGGACAGAGTTGGGTGAGTTGTTCAAAGCAATCGGAAGCTTGAACAAAATCATGCATTTGAAAGTAGCAGTAAGCCAAAAGAGAGAGTGCTGCTCGGGACGTCGGATTGATAAATCGTTGATAGGATAAAATAGAAATTGCTTCTGAATACTTCTTCATGCATAGATATCTGTATACCGTTAATGTGTATTGGCCATCCTTAATCTGATTAATCATTGCCTAAATTTATCTACCAGTTGCATTAATGAAAATTAGATAAAGCGATTAAAATTTGAAACAATCTGAAAAGTTGAAGGATATGGTGCTTTTATGTATATTTCTAAAGAATTTCACAGTAAATATTCTAACTATCTATCAAAATACATAGGCAATCATTAACCTTTGGCGTCGATTTTGAAAAGTGATCACTAAGTCTGAATGCATAGAGTATGTTCAAGGCGAAAGTTTTAACCTTACAAACAATATTAAAAATTGAAGAATTAGACAGATATATGCCATTTTAAAATAACTGTGGGTACAATTTTTTATTGTGTCAGCAAGAGCTAGAAAACTTAGCAATTAGGGAATATTGAATAGTCTATTTTAAATGAACTATCATTGGGATAATTAATTGTAAAAATATGTCCAAAGAATGTAAGATTACCTTCAATCTTTTGAAAAGGTTTACATTTTTAATTCAATTGTCATTTAGTTGATCATTAAATGAGAAATAAATAACGTGGAATTTATTAACAGAAAATCGTTAGTGTTTAATTTTTTACATGCCTGATTAATATCTTAATACAGTACATTTTAAATGATAAAATTCATGATTTAACTAAAAAGATTTTATAGAGGGAAATTTTCTTACGTTATATCTATTTGTTTATAATTTTCAGACCAGACGCTCCTGGATTGTTTCCACCGTAGTACTCTGAGTAATGCCGAGGACTAAGTTTCTCTGCGATGTTTTGGACGAGTCATTTTATCAGACTTCGTACAGAGATCGTCGAAATAGTGTGAGTAATTTCTCTGTAGTTGTATATAGAATTCGATTTTTCTAATTGCGCATTTACCCGCAGGCTTCAAATCGCGAGATTAATAAGGACCTTCTAAAATCAACGACACTCTATGTGGGTAATTTATCCTTTTTCACCCGTGAAGAGCAAATCTGGGAGTTGTTTAGCAGGGCTGGTGAGGTACGTAGGGTAATAATGGGTCTACATCGACTTGATAAAACTCCATGTGGCTTTTGTTTTGTGGAATATGACGATAGAGAAGGCGCTGAAATGGCCATGCGCTATATTAATCACTGTCGTCTCGACGATCGTATTATTCGAACCGATTGGGATGCAGGATTTGTTGAAGGTCGGCAGTACGGTCGCGGAAAGAGCGGTGGTCAGGTAATACATAAGCCTTTTACTTTTGATTTAGTGCTTGTTAATCGGTCTTTTTTTCTTAAAGATCGCTTAAAACGCCTTTTTTCTAAAATAAGGATAGCATGCCCTTACTTTCCTTTAAGCGCTTGTGATATAGCTTCCCTTTGTCATTTATGTTGATGTAATAAATATTTTTTTTTAGGTTCGTGACGAATTTCGCAAAGATTTTGATGCAGATAGAGGTGGATATGGCAAAATTGTTGAGAGGATGATGCAGGACTAATTGCTTCGATGATGTTAATGCTTTAATATTTGTAAATAAATTTTTACTTTTTCACCAATTACTTACAAATGGCAAAATTCTCATTTTGTTGTTAAAAAATCGATTTTGTCAAAGAAACAAATATTTTATTTAAAAATAATTATGGGTTATATCCGACGCTTTGGATGATTTTCTGTAACTCCTTAAGTGTTCAGCAAGTGTGATTGGAGGGATATTCAAATTCAGTCAATGTCCTTCTTATGCATGCGCTTCTTGAATCATTAAATACTCTCCCGGCTGAAGTTTTTGAAATGAGCTTTAAAACCACTTACCCCTTTCGCAGTACACATGATAGTCTGCTTTTCTTTTCCACTGTGAAATTGTGCAATATTTATATTTCAGGGTTCCCATCGTCATACCAATCTCCGATGTGCCCGCAATCAGGTGTCCGTTGTGATCTCGAACTAATGCGGGCAATTCGCTCACATAAAGTTCATTGAAGCGCGGTATATTTCTAACCTCATATAGACTGATCTCCATAAGTGGGTATTCTGAAAGGTTAAACATTCAGTCACTTTGGTACCGTAAAACTAGTACCACACTCATTTTAAAGTCACGCACCCGTTGCGTTTCCTGGGAAATTGCAAAGGTCGACAATAAAGTAATCTACATCATGGGGAAACTCGTAGTTCAATCTGAGAGCTTCAAATATCCCCCACGCATTATAATAATTGGAACAGATCAAAGTGATTATATTGGCCTGTTTGAGTTGGCATCCACAAGAATGTGTTTCCTCGTGCTAAAAACCATCATTACTTCACCCGCTACATACCGCTACACCCATGCCGTGAAGCCGACCCCCAGAAGTTTCAATTAAGTGAGTCTTCTTGAAGATGTAGTTTTTAACTTCACGGTAGGGAGGACTTATTCCACCCACTGTTATGAAGACCAATTGCTGATCAGTTTGTTTCGGAATATTCTAAATTTCACTCTTACTAAATGCACGTAACCTACCATTATCAAAAGTGGTAATGGAGGTGATGCCTTGGGGTGGCATTCCTCCAATTCATCTTGAGGTCTTCTAGGTGCGTTGGCCATCCAAACGCGTCTGGCTAGTGATTTGAAGTGTCCAACGTGGCTAAAATCAATACCTACTGCGATCACGACAATTGACGTCGCTTAAGGCTTTGCGCGTGCCACGAGTCATTTGGTAACGCCAATAAAAAAATCTTTCCAATCTGAGAAAGTTGCTTCTCTTCGAAATTATGAAGTTGATTTTGAAAATTTCTATGATGAATTCATACTTTTGAATTCACTACCTTCGGTTCCGTGTAGCCAGGAAGATGATTTAACTTTGAAGCCTAAGTTAGAAATGTATAGTCCTCAATGCTAACATGACTGAAATAAGGAATTTTATGCGAGCTCAAATATTCTGCAACGTGCTCCTGTGTGTTACAAATTAAATCAGATCGCTAGTACAGAGGCCACCAATCTAATCACTGCTGGCTCAACATCACCAAAAATGTAATCAATTAATTAATAATTTTTTTGGGGCAGTGATCGTCCCTAGGCTATAAACGCATTCCGGTGAAATTGAGTAAGGAATCGGTATCCAAGTGCCTTGCTCATCAATTTAAATCGATGCTGATAAAAGTTATCGAAACTGGTAAGTATTAGACGCCTACGTCAATTGGCCTTCTTTATAAATGAATTGAAATTATATTTTGCTTATGTTAATTCAAACTTTCAGAGAGAGTATACATTTTACAGGGTTTGCTTGTGCTCGTAGATTAGAGAAATCATCAAAATTTGTATCGAATATTCCATTAAAATCTCTATTCTGACATAGTGACTTTCGTTATGCCTTTAAGCTATCTAATGACTATTAGCGATACAGAGGAAGAAATTTCCATCAAAGTGGCCAAAGGTCAGAAAAATTTTCAGAAAGAGCATTTTCTTTCCATACACTTATGATTTCTATTGTTTGCTTACTGCAAAAACGAGGAGGGCGGAGGCCGAGCAGGCAACTGGAAATTCTTCTCTAAACCAACGTCTAATAGACGCTTCATCAGCAATGCGGAACATATAAAGGGGAATTTTTTCGCAATTGTTTCAATTCTTAATGTTTCGATCTCAATGAAGGCAGTTTACAGTGAAAATGATAAGCTAATAATGTACTGAAAGCGGAATTTTCAGCTTTGATAATAAGTGAGCAATAGTTAAATATACAAACTGCAGAAAATATTGATAAAAGAAATTTCACCGGGTCGGTTTCATTTGAGTAACTGGAGTTAAAAGGACGTTAGCAAAGCAGTATCGTAAATTTAATTCCAATTTACCAAAACAGCTTAGAGATTAGAAGCGTTGAGAATTGAATATGGCCAATAAGCTCAGTAGATCATTAAATAGGACTTACTTTGTCCATTGCCTGTGCGAGATTTCGTCTTCAAGATATTCGTAGACTGGGGCGGCACCGACATCATTCTCAGGACCACCCTGCAAAAATGGCACGATTACTTGCTAGACAATAAATATTTGAAAAGGTCTTGTGACCAACAATATTCTTAAGAGTGAACAAGTTGGTTTATTCCTTGAGACCAACAATATTATTATCAATGAACAAGCAGTTTTTAGGTCAAGGATACGTGTGGGGTGCTGGGGAGGCCAAAAGTACAGTTGGAGACCAAGCAACCCACCATTCTTGCACTCTCACTAGCCACTTTCTCCCAACACATCAAAGATGCCCTTGATGCAAGAAATACTCGTACGGCTGTATTCGTCTATTTCAAATCAGCATATGAATTAGTATGGAAAGAGAAGCTAATTCTAAAATTGGCAAAGATTGATATAAAGCATAACATGCTAAACTGGATAAAAGCATTCATTGGACAAAGATCATGTAAAGTCAGATATGGAAATGCTCTATCAAAATCCAATCTTTTACAAACAGGCCTTCCACAGGGAGCTGTCACAAGTTGCACTCATTTCAATGTCTTCATCAAGGACATAGCCGAATTAGTACAGACAGTCACGAGCATCAAGTGCTTACTTTATGCAGATTATCTTGCTCTATGGTATTCCGCCCCTAAGAAAAACGCTCAGGAGAGGACGGAAAGTGCCCTTAATTGTGCACTTAAACTACTAACAAACTGATGCGATAACAATGGAAAGGTTGACAACACCGCGAAAACTGCTTTCCGAACATTTTCTTTGGCCCGTCACAGCATAAACCCGCATTTAAGGGACAAGGATACTACCCTAGAAAAAATCAACGGACTTCTAAGGTACAAGGATACTACCCTAGAAAAAACCAGTAAGTTTCACCATATCTTGGAAAGTGACTTTTGACACAAAGCTAACGTGGAAAAGTCACATTGTTAAAACCATAGAAAAAACCAATGAGTTCACATATCTCGGAATGAATTTTGACACAAAGCTAACGTGGAAAAGCCACATTGCTAAACTCCAGAACGATCTCCAATAGACTGAATGTCCTGAAGCGTCTTGCTGGTAGCTCCAATAGACTGAATGTACTGAAGTGTCTTGCTGGTAGCATAACGTGGAAAAGTCACATTGCTAAAATAGCAGAATGAGTCGCTAATGGAAAAGTCACATTGCTAAAATAGCAGAACGAGTCTCCACTATTCACATATCTCAGAATGACTTTTGACACAAAGCTAACGGCTAAAAGTCACATTGCTAAAATAGCAGAAAGAGCTAACGTGGAAAAGTCACATTGCTAAAATAGCAGAACGATTCTAACGTGGAAAAGTCACATTGCTAAAATAGCAGAACGAGACTCTAATAGACTATTGCTAAAATAGCAGAACGAGTCTCCAATAGACGGAATGTCATGAAGCGTCTGCAGAACGCGTCTCCAATAGACTGAATGTCCTGAAGCGTCTTACTGGTAGTGTATGGGGCTGTGCGCGCTCAACTCTAGGACCATTCTCTCAAACCCCTCGAGAAGGCACACAGCCACAGAGGTGACTCCCAAACCCCTCGAGAAGGCACAGAAAGCCACAGAGGTGACTCTCAAACCCCTCGAGAAGGCACACAATCAAGCCAGAGATGACAAGATGTTTATTCAGCCAATAATGTTGTATTTCTGTAACCCACTCATTACAGCCACAGAGGTGACATTCAACCACTCGAGAAGGCACACAACCAAGCATTACGACGAATTACTGGAGGGATTAAATCAACACCCATTGATGCAATGCCATGACTGGAGGGATAAAATCAACACCTATTGATGCAATGCTCCTAGTTACAGGAAGTGCCAACACCCATTGATGCAATGCTCCAAGTTACAGGAAACACATCACACCCATTGATGCAATCTCCTAGTTACAGGAAGCACCACAATAGGTTCCCTTATCACAAAAGGCCTTGATCCTGTACGAGAAGCTACTACGCATTCCCACATAAGTTCTTCGCAAATAGAATAGACCAAGACATCTAAAAACGCAATCTGGTCTAATGCAGTAAGCCATAGAACTAAAGAAAGAATTACAAATTGATGACAAACCAAAAAGCCTCTCCCCACGAACCCATTAGCAGACACTGATGTAGTGTGTAGCACCCAACTGCTTGACCACTTCAGGAAATCAAACACCCCTCCAGAGCAAATGCACTCACTGGCCCTTGAGACAATCAATGTCAACTATCCTGGAGATCAATGGCTCCAAGTCTTCACT